GGCAAATTTCTTTTGCTTTATGATCTCCTGTGGATCAAGATCTTGATAAAGTTTCATATTAATAAATAATTTCATAACTTTTAGGTGTTTTCATAAAAAAGAGCAAGTCAAGTATGATGAGACAATATCAGCTCAAAGGGAACGTGGTATGACTGGTAAAACCTGCCTAAAATCACCTTCAAATACGAAAACTTTTCCACCTAAAGGCTTATTAATGCAAGTGATATCACGTAAAGTCCTATCCATAGCTTTAAATGCAAACTTCAGATGAAAAGCTTAGTTGCATTAATTAAACAAGCTTTTCTACTTTCACAGAAAATGTTGCAGGTTGAAAGTTCATTTAATTTCAGAGGAATTTTAAAACGTGAATGGGTTGTTCTCCTACTATCAATCAATTCTTGAAGAAGCTATAGCCAATATGATTTCTCCATAGAATTTAACAGTTGCCAGCAACATATTATACAAAAAAGTCTTACCGATACCACCAGAACTATCAACAAAGAAGCAGTTACATGTATTATTAATAGAAGATAAAACAGCATCATAAATAGTTTGCTGGTCTTTATTCAGCAAAGGAACATTCTGATTTAATGCACTTTGCAATAGTGTAACATCATTAAGGTTGCTTGTCTAAACCTCTTCAAAATCCTATGATTAGTTTCATCAAAATTTTACTATAGATTTATTATAGTTTTGGCAGAGTTTCGGCAGTTTTAGCATTTATAATAAGTTTTGGCAGTTTCGTCTTTCTCCAAAGTTTCGCCAGTTTTTTAATATAACTTTAATATAGTTTCAGCAGAATTTCGCTTTTCGGCGAAATGCCATCTTGCCTAAACCCCTAGGTTTCGGCAAGCAACTTTAAACATTATATGATATTTCTTCTTAAATCAGTTGATTTAATACATCAGGACCATCAAGAAATCCAGATCCTTCCAAAAAAAGAGGTATATCAGGAAAATCTTTTAGAGATTTTACATTCAACTGCAAGTAAGATTCCAATTGTCTCAATGCTTCCTGTTCAACTGCATCATTTACATCACTATAAAAATCACGATTCTGATATAAAATATCTTTACAAAGAGCAACTTTATGATTATTTCACAGAATTTTAGGTGCAGCAAGTGACAAAAGATAAGAATGGTCACAAAAAGGAAATGTAATTGTTAATCCATTCTCATACAACATGCTTTTCTCAAACAGACATCCCATTCGGTATTATCTTGAAGAAGGCCCAAACGAATATAGGCTTCCTTAAAACTTCCACATATATGACCTTCAACTGTCTTCAAGTCATCAAAATTAGAAGCACCTCCTACATGAGCAAGCAATATTCGCAAATAATAATATTCACCTTCTGAAGGTTGCACCATGTACAGTCTTCCAATCCACTTGTAATAGTTTTTCGTATATTCTACAGTACTTATGATCGGTTGAATTCCAAGTATAATAAAGTGGAAAGTCAACATATCTGTAATTATGAGCAGCAGGATTCTTAGCATTTTCTTGAAACTAAGCAACTAAAGTAATTACATGTAAGTCAGCATAATCTAAAACTTGCTGCAATTTTATCAGCAAGTTTTAAAAGTGTTACTTTACATAATTATAGTGTTAATTAACATTAAGGAGTTGTTTAATATGATATATCTTATCATTTAATACTGTATACTGTAATGATTAACACTGAATGCTGTTATATATGTATAATTTTACAAGTTTTTTTATGTTGTTTGATATCCAATATGATATGCAATGTAGTTTAATACCATCAATCAATCTAAACAAATATAAAATATTGTTTCATTAAAATTTAGTATAAAAATATACTAGTTGTTATCGCTATTTATTAACACTATACATATTTTTTAACACAAAATGTAGTTTAACATATTGTTAATATTGTTAAATGCCAATAAGCAATATATATAAATATGAAGTTAGTTATACTGCAATTTAGTATAGAAATACACCCATTTTTATTAGTGTTTTTTAATATTATACATATTTGTTAATACTAAGTGTAGTTTATTGTGTTGTTCAATATTAATAATTAATGTATATAAATACATATGAAACCTTATTACTGAAGACTCCCTCTTTTTATCACTATAAAACAGGCAGAGGGAGTAGCAATAGCTCTCTCCCTATAAGTACTTTATAACCTTTACCTATTTATAGAGAAGGGGCTTTTTGTAAAGTATTAAAGTTAATAGATATATATATATGTATATATAAATACATATACAGTCAAAGCTCGTTATAGTGAATCTCGTTATAGTGAACATTAAGTAAAATCATGTTATAGTGACCTATTGATTTTTTTCCTTATAATTAATTTCTCTCAATATAGTGAATTTTCTTAATAAATCTCGTTATAGTGAAATTACATAGTGGAACGGAAAGTTCACTATAACGAGCTTTGACTGTATACATCTATTAAAAAGTTATAAAAGAAAATTTCGAATTTCGGGAAAAGGCTCTGTTTATATATTTTTTATACATCACATGTATTACGTGATACTGAATTAATAATTACTGCAGCTTCAACTGCGCCTGCTATGGTATAGAGCTTTTTTTAGCAAAGCTTATTTTTTTTTTCTCTTATGACCTTTATTTTTCCTTTCCTCTTTCGCTTCTCTTTCCCTTCTCCTTTCTTCTTACCCTTCCTCTTCCCCTTTCCCTTTCATTCTACCCTTTCCCTTTGCTCTCCCATTACCCTTTCATTTTCCTATTTCCCATTTTGTTTTCCCATTCTTTTTCGCTTTCCCCTTTTCTTTTCGTTCTCACCTTTTCCAAATGGTAAGTTTTGAAGCGTTCGCCTCAAAACTTTTTTATAAAATTTAATTTTCTTTTTTATGTGGGAATGTTTTTAATGTTTCTTTGTTTTTTTTTTGTAGGACATTCGTTATTATACCTTTAGAGCGAAATTGTAAATTTCAATGCAAAAGTTTTGAACCTTTTTTTTTTTTAAGATTATTTTTTTTTAATTAGGAAACATTACTAACGTTTCCTATATTTTTTTTTGTGTAGGATCTTTAGCTTGTTTTCAGTTCAAAATATTAAAAACTTTAAATTAATTTTTTTTTTNTTGTTTTCAGTTCAAAATATTAAAAACTTTAAATTAATTTTTTTTTTATTTTAGGAAACTAATATTATTTAATAGTAACTAAAGATGGCGGTCTGATAGTCTAAACAAATCTTTCTGATGAAAGTTATTTCTTCACATGAAAACTGTCAGAATGATTTGTGAAGAATATTTATATACTACTGTTTTCTGGATTTCTGAACACATTTCCTATAATTTTTTTAAGGACTCTGTGTATTCAACTTAAAAAACAAAAGAGTAAGTTTCGAGACGTACGTCTTAAAACTTTTTAAAATTTTTTTTTTTCTTTTTAGGAAACATTACTAACATTTTCTATACTTTCTTTTTTATAGATGTTTGACTTTGGATCTTGGAAATGGTGGTGGATATGATAAGCTTTGAAGAGTTCACTTTCTCTTCAAAACTTAAAATCAATTTTTTAAAAAAAAAATTTTATTAGGAAACGTTTTCTAACGTCTCCTTTATCCTTTTTGTTGTAGGATTGGAATGTTCAGAATGGATGAACAGTTTGGTAAATTTCATTTCGTTATGAAACTTAAATAATAAATTTTAAAAATTTTTTTTTTTATTAGGAAATGTTCTAACTGAATGTCTCCTTTATTTTTTGTAGGTTCGAATATCTGGTATTGGATACGATAAGTTTCGTACTTTTTGTTACGAAACTTCTGTTGTTTTTTTTTTCTTTTTTTTAGATTAGAAAATGTTTACTAATATTTCCTTTTTCTTTATTTTATTTAGGTATATAATAGAATCCGTTCTAATTTCGAAACCAGGATCCTGGATGGTAAGTTTCAAAGAGTTTCACTTCAAAACTTTAAAATCAATTTTTTTTAATTTTATTTAAACTTTTTATTAGAAACCGTTCTAACTGAACGTCTCCTTTATTTTTTGTAGATTCGAGAATATCCGTATTGAATATGGGTTCTGAAACGGTAAGTTTCATATGTTTCATTATGAAACTTCTGTTATTTTTTTATTTTTTTAATTAGGAAATGTTTACTAACATTTCCTTTTCTTTTTCTTTTATTTAGACTTCAGAATATTTTTGATTCTGGATGGTTATGGGTAAGTTACACAAATGTTGTAAAACTTATCATATATATTTTTTTAATAAAAACGTTTTCTAACATTTTCTTTTCATTCTTTTAGGTTCCAGGAGTTCAAGTTACTGGGAATTTGTAATTGGTAAGTTTTATTTATCATGGAACTTTCTTTTGATTTTTTTAGGAAATTTTTATTAACATTCTTTTCTCTTATTTTATAGGTACCGTCCGGTGTTTGATTTTGTGAAAACAGCAGGTTTTGTAACAACTTTCGTTGCAAAACTTATTTTTTCAAATTTTTTATTTTAGTAACTTAGCAAAAATGGACCAGTTTTGGAGTGTGTGAAGGAGTTAAAGAGAAAAAAAGGAATAGAGAACTAAAGTGGATGAAAAGATGTCTGGGCGATACAAAATTATCGGAGATACGCAAAATGTATAGCTATTCAGCGTACTTATAATTTTATTTTACAGTTTTACGTTAGACATTAGATAGAAATTAAAATATTTAAATAATACAAATTTATTTAGTATTAATAAAATAATAAAACAATACATTTATTTTCGCGTTAATATATACATTGTTTATCAAATTTATTAATAAAAAATTATATTGTACAATATAAATAAACTAACACATGATACGCGTTAGTTAACATTAATTTGCCATTTTTTTACACGTATTTTAATAGTGTCGGTCATTATAGGGTTAGTTTTTCTATGTTTTTAAGATGTTAAACAACACTAGTGTCAATTGGTATTAATTAACACTAGTATACACCACCCAAAATTTTACTGATGTTATCATCATTATGGAAAGTAATAAGCTGCTTCTTAGGAAAATGAATCGCCAATCTTTAAACACTTGGAGAATGGCCATGCATCCTGTAATGAAAAATTCTCCAAATCGCTTCTGAAGACGAAATGTATCTTATGTCAAGATACATCTTTATCTCATCAACAGGTTCTTTAATAGGTGATCGCAATTCACTAGCACTTTCAGGTCATAAAAATGTAATAATAGCTTTATCGTAACTTTTGTATATGTATTTATACAAATATTTAATAGCCAAAACTGAATTACAGATTTCAACATTGATATGAGCATCATATTTTTCTACCAATTCAACATTGTGAGGAACCACTCATTGGTTATCTAAATGGACGTCATGTCTAACTTCAACAAAAGAACCATTGTCACGTCTACGGTAAAGAGGATATCTGTCACAATTGTCCTGTATGAAGGATTAAAAAGATTTCAGATAATGCTTCTGGCAGAAACCATCCTTCATACACAGAGCTGAAAGATTAAGTACACCATACTGACTATGCATCATAGACGATATAACGGTCACAGTGAACATTAGGATCAGGGATTTCTACGGAAACAATTGCATTATAATCTTCTGCAGAATGAAGTTTTGAATCTTGCAAAAGAATTAGGAGAATATGAGCATATAGTAAGTCACATTTCTAAAATTTGATTACGTAAACAAATGTGACAACTTTACTGAGGCAGTGTTTTTCACATAAATCCTTTAACAATTCTTGTAGTTTTATATGAAAAACATGTGCCATCAAATCAGGTCTATCTTGATATGGCAACAATTTTCTTGTAATCTCTTGCCACTTAGAATTACATATGAAGGTGACAAAAAGGTCAGGCTTTTCAAAGTGACTCACGATAATCATAACATCTTGATAGAATTAGTATATCTGATATGAATCACCAATAAACGTTAAAGGAAGAAATATCTAACATCCAACATTCTGTCCAATATTTCCAGCATCTCTATTATCAGCATCTTTATCATCAACATGTATGGTATCAGCAACTCCTTTATATAAATCTAAGCAAAGGGATGATTAATTAAATCTGAAATAATTCAAATGATACTATTCTATCTTTAAATACTGGTCTACAACATACTGTTAATACAAACGGCCAGCATGTTGTAAGCAATTACCAGGTCTAATCTGTAACCTGTAAGAATAAAATTGCATAGAAGTCACTGTATCTCTTAAAGCATTTATTTGAGCATTATCTGCAAGCACTATATCAATATGCCATCCATCATTACCATTTAGAAATAGTAGCACGTATTGAAGAAAATTATTATTATTTTTTTTTTTTTAAACCTTTATTATAGATGCGATCATGTCCTATTATAATCATGCTTACTTACATATATAAACTTACAAAATATAAGATAAAAAAAAAAAATACATATAAGAATTAAGCATTATGAAACAAGACTACTTTTCAAAAAGAACAAGTCGACCTGTCACCTAAACGATCACATCATTATTAAAAACAATGATGCGACCTCAAATTCAAAGGTGACTGTCATGATCTACCTAAAAATTTGCCCAATGACTGCCTCGATGGAATGCCAAATCATTCCATTTATTCCAATTACTTTCTAACATCTTACAGCCAACATTTTTAACACCCACTTCAGTGCGATTACTATGTGACTTAGCTTTTTTATCTTTACCGCTAATACCGCACTGCTTTTCTTCCTTTACTACACGTTATAAATAACGTGCATGTATGATTCTTTCTTTATTAAAAAGCTGTATGTACATACTATTGGATACAGAATGATGAAATAAACGAAAACAATTTTCTAAATAATTTGATAAAACTACTGGGGAAGTCTATATATTTTTCTTTCAAATAAAATTTGCCATATGTAAATATAATTAAATATGGAATGATGTGAAACTAAAAATAAATTCGATAGACAAACTGTCTATATATTTTTCTTTCTAACCAAATAGCCTTATGTAAATATTATCAGATAAGGAATGATCTAAAATCCTAAAATAATTATTCATTTTTTCCCTTTTGATAATTTATTTCTTAATAATTAGCCATCCCACAAAAGAAAATAGAAAAACAAAACAAGAATAACTAATCATATACTTATGTCCCCTTAATACAACATACCTTGCTCTAATTTACGAGCTTTAATTGCATACTGATAAGGTTGCTTGCCAAAACCTCTCCAAAATCCTGCGATAAATTTCGGCAAGATTTTACTATATGTTTACTATAGTTTCGGCAGGGTTTTGGCAGTTTCGGCAAATGGGGGTTTCGGCATTTCGGCAAAGTTTTGGCAGGATTTTTAATATGATTTAATATAGTTTTGGCATTTTCCGTATAGGTTTTGGCAGTTATTAAGAAGGTTTCGGCAAGCAACCTTACATACTGATTAACCACGTAGTCATGAGTAACCCCACGTTCACGTCTTGCTCTTCTAACCCCATTACAATATGTCGTTAAAAGACTTTTATCTCTAATACTATTCAAACCCCGATGAAATTCTGACCTTGTAATAGGTTTTCATCTATTGAGTATTTCTTGCCAAGGAGCGACATTATCCTGTCCACTAATTTCCATTTTTTGAAGGTTCGTAACAATATTATCTATTGTAACACTTTGACCAGCACTACTCGGCTGTTCTGCTAACTTAGCATCGTTTCGTTCAAAAGAAGTGTCTTTTTTCTTTCTTAATTCAAAAAAATGCTTTTTGTTAAAAGAATAGTTCATAAAAATATCATCTATTAACATTTTGTATCCAACTTTACTCGTAACTTGATCTACCAGAAACTCCATTTCTTTTTCTGATATGTACTGTTTCTTAAGGATATCACCTCTACGTTTCAACTTATGTTTGGAAATGAGTACTTTTGATTCAATTCCATTATTTGTAACCTGCCATTTATTCTTATTACTCTTGAGGTTGTTTTTAAACCTCTTTTTATACTTCTCTTGTTCTTTCGGTGTCTTAAATTGCTTGTTTATCCGTGAATTTGAATACGTAACTGCATATTTACGTGCTCCACCATCCATTGAAACTTTTTTTGTATAAGACACGCCTACGCGTTTACTTATTACTTGTTTAATTTTACTAAAATCCTTAAACACATTTTGCGGCGGAGGTGTAGGAGTTACTATCACCTCTGAACGACAATTTTGACAAACTTTTCTATTTCTTGACATCACGTAAGCACAGACGTTACTACAAAACAAGCATGGGATATAGAACCCCAAATACCATGTTCGTTTACCATGACTAAATTTAATATAAGTTGTAGTTTGCCTGTTCTTTTCTTGTTTCATTAATCTATTTTCAATAACTACAAGTTTATCCAATAATAATTGACGTATTCTTAAAAAATACTTGTTTCTAGTTTCTATGTCAATAGGTAACCCACAAAATACACTTGTCAAGTATTTTGAAATCCTGTATTTAGTATTCATCATAGGCCGATCTGAATTAATCAAATAAGGCTTATCATATTTCTTTATTATATATCTATTGTTGGTAACAATCGTTAACATATCTTTCTCTTTCTGTAAAAAATCCACATGCAAAAGGATATAGGACTTTCCTTTTCTGGTGGAATATATTGTATCAGCCCCATGTACCGTTTCACTTTTTCTGGACAGAAAAAAGTATAGCCGATAAAAATTTCTTTATTCAGAATCTTTTATCTGATTGGTGCGCCGTATTTACGCCTTCTTTTAAAAAAATTTCGCAAGAAAACAAAACTTTTATGTCTTTAAAGGACTATTAAGCCCTTGTGAACTTGTTCGAACTGAAAAGAGTGATAATAAAAAGTGTGTTGTTTAAACCAAGAAACACTTTTATTTTAATACTGAAGTGCTATTTTTCTAGTAATTTAACGAGAAAAAAGCGTAATATTTCTTGTGTGAAAAATGGACGTGAACGGTACAGGAAAGAGTTTTTTTTTTTGTATTGAAGAAGATTATAGGAAGAATGCAATTCAGATATTCTTTGTAAAGTTCTATTACAAAGTTTAAGAACAATATCTCGATTAAAAGGTATTTCAGCTGAATCAGCATCATTTTGAAACAAATCTCTTATTTGACGAAAATTCTGGATATAAAGATTATAAGTATCTAACATATTCTGCAAATTCTGCAATATTTTAGCATTCAGATCACACATAATACAAAGCTGATTGCTATTTTCGTGATCGGTGTTATAGATATAAAGCTGAGCAAATACCAGTTTCTGTCTATCATTGGGCATTAAAGATCTTAAAATTTGATTTACCTTGACCTTGAAAGCTTTCATTAATATTAGCACTAAAAGAAGAGCATGACAAAATTCTGTTGTAAGTTCTGATGTTTTTACGAAAACTTATTGCTTCTGAATGGAAGGAAGTATATAAATCAAGTAAATAAAGGGAGGATCAAGTACAGGAGGTTAATGGATCTTGCCACCTGCACAATATACAGTCAACTCTCTTTATAGTCACACATTTGCGACAGTCCATATTTGGTGATTATAAAGAGATGTGACTATATAAAAAATTTCTTATATTTGTAT